CTGATGTTAAAGTTCATGAGAAGAGAACACAATATGCTAAGTGAACAACAATTAAAATTGTTTCATTTTCAACTGCATCCAAGGATGTTAGACAGTTGGGTTGGGTGATAATCTCCATCCGGCCATCGTCAGTCCAACAACCGCTGATTGCCGATATATTCGCACATGCATGCCCCAGCAAATTAACAAAATAAAAGGAGACAAATCACATCAAATAAAAAAATAAAACAACTGGTTATGGACTCGGCCTTTATTCATCCAATCGCTCAACCCTTGTACACAAAAAAACAAACAAACCAACCCTGGACCAGACCATACTTTTTAAAAGTATTAGCCACATTACAGCTAATACTAATAGCTAATTTTGTCATGAATACGACATCAGTTAGGTTATTTAAGTAAACTTCTCTCATAAACACTTGAAGGTTCTGCTAAAACCAGGTGACAGCTTTTCCTTTATATTGAACTGCAGTGAATGAGTTGCCTCCTGTAAACTCTAATCAAACCTCTAACATCATAAGAGTACCAAACAGATCAGCATTTAATAATGAATAGTATAGTATATTTAAAAGTCAGACTCATTTTACAGGTAATTGGCTCAGACAAACTATTATCAGTGTTTTGTCAACTCCATTGCTCTCTGATCACACTGCTGTTTCTCTAAGCCTCAAACTGACTTCTGTATACAGTAAACAGGGATCCCTGGTTGTGGCGGTCTGGGGTTCTGAGGAGCTTTGCACAAGATGCCGTCTAATCCGCTGTCTCCCCAGAGAGATTAGCTCTGTCACCAGGGCTGGGAATTAAACCACGACTGGTGTTGGAGATACTGACATAGACACAAAGCTAAGAGTGGACCGGGGGGAGGGGAGGTTATAAATAAATAACTAGAGTAAACCATGAATTACAGTCTGTCACCATCAAATAAAAACAATTATAGTCTTGGAGAGGATGACATTGGTTATATGAATCTGTATAGGAGGGGATTATAGGAAAAAGATGAGCAGAGGTGCAGTTTCATGTTTCAATGTTTGCAGACATTTTTGACCAAAAATTGGATTTGACAAGTTAAATATGGTAATAAGCGAATCTGTTTATCTTCCCTTGGAGGGAGAAGCAGACAGTTTGTGCCGTGACGAGATCAAACAACATGTCGAACACATTGTGTAATTTGTGCAAAGGCAAAATACTCACATGTTACATCAACCTCATCTGCATTCAGCTCATGGTGGAGTTCTTCCTCTGAGGGCACGAGCACAGAGGTCGAGTTCGGATCAGACGGGAACGTCAAAAGAGACTGTGAAGACAACAAGAAGGCAGACAGAGAACCCCTCAGAAATTCAGTTTTCCTCAATAAAGAAAGACAGATTAAAAAGTATTGATCATGAAACACACCTTAGCAGAGAACTATGCTGTAAGGGTCTTCTGAGCAGCAAAAGCAAGCTGTCTTCAACCTGTCTAAACTGAATTTAATGTGTACTGTACATTTGATTCAGTGCTTCAAGGACTTTATCATCAGAAACTCCAAAGTAAAATATATTACAGAACTGGGCACAACGCTCCGTTCACAAATCATACACAGAGCAGGAGGCACAAATCTCTGTCTGTAACTATGAACTATCTTCATGTTTTGGTGCTGTTTCTAAGTGGGCGCTCCCTTCCTGTCGTAGAGCCAGCAACTGAGTCAAGGTCCGTCCCTGCTCTGGGGCAAAACCGGTTCACCCTCACACTTTCCGTCCGTCTGGCCACGAATGATTCACACTGTCCTACTGGTCTATTTTGGCTGGCAGCGGAGCTTGTACAGTGAAGAGTTTGCTTTGTACAAAGTGAAAAAAAGTAGAAAAAGTAGAAGAAGATCAAACACACTGATGAATAATATTCTGTTCACTGACTTCTATGACTTAAATCTTCCCTCAAGTGGTAATTTGCAGCAAGTGGGTTCACACACACAAAAACAAACAGTTCACTTACTGCATAAAAAGAAGGAAAATCTAAATTTGTGTAAAAAAAAAAAAAAACATCCACAGTTTTCCATCCTACACCACAAATTATGTCAAAAAATTATTTATCAAGTGAGCAGACTTTAAGCAACCAGTTACAGTACAAGTCTTCTGGACTAAAACCGAACTTCCCCCGTTCAGCACCCTTTTATGATAATATGATGGCAGTTTACCATGTTGGTCCGACTGCAGCAGTCTTTCGAGGTCAGACCAGGTAACACTTCTTTAACACTTCAAACCTGGCACAAGCCTGAATTGAACGCTGTCACACTGACAGATCGGCAGACAGGATGTTCGTACTGTGCAAACCGATCGCAGTGTTATGATAAGCATATGCGCCTTGTTGAGGGATTTGTTCAATCTGTTACAAAACCTCACAATCAGTGCTTTTCCTTTTGACAAAAGGGATTTAAGCCAGCAAAGAAATGAAAAAAGTTAAAATGCTTAAAATAAAAGAGATATAAAACGATGGACAGGAGGATTTTGTGCTGAAACAATGAGGGAATTAAGAGATTTAACAATAACAATATTGATAATCATTAGTTTTTTAAGTCATTTATCAAACAAAAATGCAAACATTCACGGCTTCTGGCTCCTTAAATTTGGCCATTTGCTTTGATTTTCTCTGTTTTATATAATTGTGAATCCAATATATTTGTGTTTTGGACGATCAGACACATTTAATGCTACAGACTAAAGAAATCAATTCAAAGTAATATGTAAAAAAAAATGTTGGCTGCAGAATTAATGAAATGATCACAGCTGATTTGTGGTTGTCCCGTTTGACTTCCTACTGAAGTACGAGAACACTGAAATAGGTTTGCCACTCAGAGATCGGAAATAATAATATCAACTTATGCTTCCTAGAAAGGAGCCGAGCTTAAACTGATCATAAAAAACCTTTAAATAACTCGGCCAGCAATCCGTTCCTGGAAAAAAGTTTCACACTCTGCCTCTCTCCTTTCCTCTAGTGCTTGTTGATCTTTTCCCTGTCTTACGTAGCTGCAGCTGATGGCGAAAGGAAGTGCACAGACTTGATAAAAATGAATGATTTTATTAGTCTGTAAGACTAAGCTGGCGTGCAGAAGTCCCTGTTTTATCCGGGCTTTGCGTGCAATACGTAGTATTCGCTACAGGACAGATTTCACCACTGGACAGGCAGATGCTTCCCCCCAGAGCAAGCGCCATGTGTCACTGAATCTGAGCCGGGATAAGACGTCTGTCACACTGAGCTCCGGATGGGATCTAAAGCGCCCCGCTGGTGCATCATTTATCAAAAGACACAACAGAACATGCTCATTATCTGTACATCTGTACCAACTTTTTCTGATCGTAATACTGAGCAGTCGATTCCCTTCACAGAATGTAAATCACATGAAGTGTCCGTTCTCTCTGCCCCTCCACTCGCTTGCAGTGAGACTGACATTGTAACCAGATGTTGGCCCTTGATACAGGCTATTACCGTTACTGTGTGCATGAATCAGACAGTAATTATGTCATGTAATTATGTCATGTGATCATTAGAGTAAATACTTCCTCATTAGACTTTAGCTTTGACGCGATGATGGAAATGTTACGTAAGATGTCCACATAGATTACTGTTATTTTGGCCTTTTGCAGAGTCTGCTTCACATTAGAGGAGTTGGCGTACGTCTTAGCAAACCCATTTGTTCCACTGCATTGGTGTTATGCAGTACCATCAGTGCCATGATTGCGCATGTCTGTATAAACACTGGCATTATGATATATGGAAATGTCAATAGCATCTTAAAACTGCAGAGGTCCTCACTATTGAATTCACAAAGCCTCTTTTATTGCTTTTATCGGCTCGGCTGTGTGTTTGTTTATATAATTTTCTGTTTCCCTCTTGCAGCACCTGTGGATGTGGGAATAATATTTTAATATTAGTGTGAATAATTGTATATAATTGCTATGATTACATAATATTTTTGTTCTTTTACAGACTGCACTGAGGAGACGAGGAAGCAGGGAAACATTTAAAGACAAGAAATCCACGAGTCAGGTAAAAAGAGAATCTATAAATGTGATTCTGTCTCTTTTTTCTGAATTCAAAATCATACAAACATTTTATGTTTTAGGCATTAAAGTATACATTTGGTTCTATATTTTCCTAAGTGTCAACAAATTCCAGACAAAAGACCAAAACCAGCAATAAATTGATCCTCCTGACACGTATTGCCTGTGCAGCAAAAGCCTAATTGATCTTATTCCCCTGTGACATAAAAGCATCATTTTTGTCCGAAACCTTTTAAAAACACATCAATGAACCACACTGGGTGCACTGGATGACATGTTCATCCATTTCTGTGAACACACACTGTAGTTTATTTCGAGTCAATCACACATTCACTGTCCTACTAAATGTAAATTACTCCGCTGCTGAAAATAGTCCCCCACAAATGCACTATTTACTCCTGTTTGAATAATGTTTACTAAAGACTGCAGTGCCCAGCTTTTTTATCCAAAGATTGAGCCTTTTTTATATCAATTATATAGTTGTGACTCCGTTTTCTTAAGATTTACATCTTCAGTACGAATGAATGGGCTCATCATTGTTGGTTTTGATCTTTTAATGGATTTGTTGACAAAAACAAAAGTCTAAAATATGGCAAGTTTTTAATGGCAGTATCCTGATCCCTATCACTCTGCTAGGAGGACAGTGCGGACCTCAGGTGCCAGCTCCAGTTTTCCAAGGAGGAGTCCAGCCTGATGAGAAAAAAGATGGCAAAGCTGGGCCGGGAGAAGGACGAACTGGAGCAGGAGCTGCAGAAGTACAAGTCAGTTTACGGGGATGTGGACAGTCCTCTTCCCCTGGCCGAGTGCTCTGGTGGTGGTCCTCACACCACTCGAGAGGCTGAACTGCGATTACGTCTGAAGCTGGTGGAGGAGGAGGCTAACATCCTGGGCAGAAAGATTGTGGAGCTGGAAGTGGAGAACCGCAGCCTGCGGGCAGAAAATGAAGACATCCGCTGTCAGTATGAAAGAGATTGCTTTGGGCGGGAACCCTTCTCCAGCATGCCCTCGTCGCCATATGGCGGTGATGCGCTTGAGTCGGCAAGTGAGCTACGTCGCCATCTACAATTTGTGGAAGAGGAGGCCGAGCTGCTGCGCCGCTCCATCTCAGAGATTGAGGACCACAACAGGCAGCTGACATCTGAACTCAATCGCTTCAAGTTCGGCCCCAGCAGCGGCTCTGGGCCTGTCGGCGAGGAGGGCAGTGAGGGAGGGTTATTTAAACCTGGTAACGGAGGGAACGGTAATGGTTCCAGCGGCGGGATGATGATGGAGGAGCTTAAATCAGCCAGAATGCAGATCAATGAGCTGAGTGGGAAAGTGATGAAGCTGCAGTATGAGAACCGAGTCCTCATGTCCAACGTCCAGCGCTGCGACCTGGCTGCACACCTGGGCCTGCGAACCGGCAGCCCTCGAGACAGCGACGCAGAGAGTGACACAGGCCGTCGAGAAGCCGCTGAGGACGAGGAGGCAGGGCGACTTCTTCTCCTCCACCCCAAGAGGGAGGGCCCCATTGGGGGCGAGAGTGACTCTGAAGACCTGTTTGAGAAAACGACAACCACCTCAGGGTTCGGAAGCATCAAACCCTCAGACGGCAGCGAGCTCAGTGCCACTGATCTGGCCAACCGCAGGAGGGAAGAACGGGAGTCATTCACCAACGTGAAACGTGAGGCAGAGAGGCTCGGGAAGACGGTGGACCGTCTGATCACGGACACCGACAGTCTGATCTTTGAGGGCAGGTTGCTGGTGACGACAGGAGAGAGCCTGGAAGGAGGGACGGCGTCTGGAAACAAACCAGACACGCAAGTCCTGGACACCATCAACACTCGCATGAAGGCTTTCCGCACCGAGCTGCACATCTTCATGGAGAAGTTGGACCACGTAGGGGAAGGGCTGAGAGAAAGGACAGACGATCTGTCACCCATGCCAAACCTCACAGAGTCCAGCAGCTTCCTGTCCACAGTCACCTCCATGTCCCGTGACTCTCCCATTGGCACCTTTGGTAGAGACCTGGTGACAGACTTCCAGGTAAGTTTAATGGATAGACGTCCTGTGACCTTCCCTACTGTTCTTAAGGTGACCTCTCTCTGTACATGTAGATGTTTTCTTTCTGTGGCTGCTTTGTTCTTTTGCAAAAAAAGAGAAATATTAGTAGTAACGTAGAAGGTCTGTCAGCCAATACTTAAGATTTTTTAAGATTTTTAACAAAATGTTCTTTTACAATCTTGCATAAGAACGCTGATTTGCCTCAAAAGCTTCTCACCTGGTTGTCCGGAGGACACCATATCCCAGGAGAGAAAGGCTGAAGACAATATCACACCAGATGGCTTCATTGCTTTAAAACAGCAGTAGGCAAACAACCCACTGGTGTATTTGTAAATGTAAGAAATTTATTTAGGTTTAATTTAAATGGCCCTAAGTGTGCAGTCATTAGTGGACCATTTGAGGCCAAAATAAACTAAACGAGATCTCGAGTCAGCACTGTGCTCGAAAAATCAGCTCTAATTAAATACAGTGGCAGCGCCGTACATCTCTAGCAGAACACATACAGTCCACAGCCACACCTGTCAGTGGGAACCTCATTAAATTGTAGGCAAACATAGCTTTAAGGATCGGTTGGGATTTTTTCAAGTCTACCTTAATACAATGTTCACCTGCCCGTTTGTACATTGAGAGATTTATGGGTCACTGTAGTCCTTCCTCCTCTCCATAGGAAGAAGTGCGACTCCATGACATTGGGGAGAACATCCACAGTCCTCGCTCAGTGCAAAAATTTACTCTTAAAGGGGAAGTGCGCCAACATTACGCATGCAGGTGGTGGAGAGTACAACTGCATATGTGAAAAAAGTTGTATAAAGCAGGCAGAGAGAGCCGCATGATGTCTGATAAATTGCCTCAAGTGATGTGAGACAGCGTCGGTCGGAGCTCGAAGACTCCAAGTTAGAAAATGATGAAACTCTGGAGGCGTGAAGGTAGAAAGAAGTGAGTTTACCAGACTTCTGTAGCCTGGCTCCTCGTCTGCTCAAGGCTAGTGGCTCGAGGTTACATTAGCTGCTCCTTGCATAACAAAACCAAGGCTCTGACTAAACTGTCAGCGCTTTGTGGGTAACGTAGGCATCAGACTTTTGACAGGGAAGAAGAATGCATGGATAAAAAAGACAATTTCTCTGGTTCTGCTGCATCAGTTTTGATCCTTTATAGTCCAGCAATGTTAGTGGAGTGCAAGCTAAATCAGGGGACTACTCTTTTACTCAAATAGAAGTACAGATACTTGTGTAAAAAAAGACTCAAGTAAGAGTACAGGCTCTGAAATGTACTCTCTTGGTTTCTCTGAAGGATATTTCTACCAGCTGTTTCTGTGCAAAGCTAACTGAAACTTCAGTCTCCCTCTCTTATCTGTTTTGTCTGTCATGCATGATCTCGATGTTGAGAAGTAGCACAGTGATGCAAAAAATTAATAATAACCCTTCCTTCCTTGCTGAGTTGTGGTGGAGGGATATGTCACCAACTTAATTCAGCTGACTCAGACCAGCTGAAGGCACACATTAAGTTGGGTTAAACTTTGTATGTATTTTTGCACAGAGCGAGGACTGTGGGCTCTTTTTTACAGTGGAGAAACGCTACAGCAGGTGGGGAGTTGTGGGGACTCATCAGATGGTTACACAGGTCGTCCTAAGGCGAGTTCAGGGAGGACAAACCTCCCGCGGAGCACGATTAGCAAATGTCGCTTGATCTTGATTTTCCGTATAAATACAGACCATGTCTCACGATGCTTTTGAGTTTTGTGTCTCAAGCAGGAGGTGTCAGAAGGGTTACCATGGGACCTCTTTTTGATCCTTCAGTGTTGGCTTTTCCCAATCATTATGAGCCAGAGCGTTGGATTGGACCCCGCCCCACTTTACAGGGAGAGTGAGCTGGGGTTAGATAGACTTGAAAAAATCCAAACCTATGATATTAAAGCCTCACGTTCAGTGCCAGCACAGGGTGACGTAGCAGGCCCCTCCACTCCAACACGAGCCACCCAGCTCTACCACACTGGCACCACCGCCACCCTTTTCCCCTGACCCACCGCCACCACCATCGCTTCCTGCCGCTGCCACATTCACATCTGCATCTCCATGCACATCCTCATAGCCAGCAGCCCTGCCTGCCTGCTTCTCCCTGCACTCACTGTCTGCAGCTGTCCTGCTTCCAGTCAGCCAAGGTGCTTAGGAGGGTGCTTGAGAGGTTGCTTGGTATGATTGGAGTAAGTACTAAAGGAAAGTTATGGCAGCTTCTTCCATTTGGCTCAATTCAAAAGCTTTTCCTCATATAGCGTTAACTGTTGCATGATGACAAAGTTTAGGAAATATTTCTCTCTTTATAACTTTACTACATCATGCTATCATTTGTATGACTCATTATAACACATAAATGGTGTAGCTATTATGTTTGCACAAGTTATCATCACACACACAGACACACGTGGGATTGGTTACTCCATGGTGTTGCCAAGGAGACGAACCATAAAAATGTGTGTGCACTGTCTAAAATAACCTGTTGAATAAAAAAAAAAAAGAGTTGCATGCCGCTGTGTGAGCTGCCTGTGGAAGAACCTCGCTGGCTGGCATCCCGCTTTCTGTTCTTGTTTTATTGCAGCTCAGTCAACATGTCAACATACTGTGTACTCTTCCAAAGCTGGTTCATTATCTCTGTGCTGCATGATCAGGCAGACATCTTGAATGTCCTTTCTAATCAGCCAGACTGTCGTATGGAGTAAAACAAACAGCTCTTCAAACATGTCTCACTTCAAGAACCCAATGTGCTTTGTAGAGATAATAGACTGAAGCTGCCTTCATACTCATTTTATCCAGTGACTTGTTTCTGCTTTGCTCCTCTGCCTGTAGGACTCACTGATTAGTCTGGGTGAAGCTGGGTGGTTTAGTCAAAGCTAACCACTGTACTAAAAACTCACACCTGTTCAAAGCAATAAGGCCTTCGTCCTTTAAGAGTTGTTTAAGATGAAAAGTTGTAGAATCGTGGAGTTTTAAATATAATAGACTACAGAGCAAAAAACTGCAGCAGCAAAAGGGTCGGGTATACAGTGAAGGTATATAAATAATATATTTTTTTTAAATGAAGATATGTCCAGAAACGCATTCACCAGAGAAAAGAAAAGATGTTTTCTCACAGTTATTACTTCAATAATTGTATTATGTTTATCTTGTTATAACTTTGATCTCATAATTATAGTTAGTATGACTTTCGTAGATCAGATTTTAAGATAAAGTATCCAGCACACTGTTTCAGTACTTTCAGACCATCAAATAAAGTTAGGATTATGAGATCTTGTGATTTGCGAGATGTTTATCTTGTAATTTGTGATAGGTATTCATCTTCGCAGTTATCTTTATTTTCATTATTTTATTATTATATTAACAACATTTTGATCCTCTGACCATCAGGTCAAATTCAAAGGTCTCTTTAATTATAAATAAGAGGTTTTTAAGAGATAATTATGAGATAAAAGTGTTGTAAATACGAGATAATAGTTTCTAATCATTTTGAGAAGAGTCAGAATTATGACAATATGCGTCCAGTTTTTCTTCCTTTGGTGAATGCTGTAGATACTCATTCGTCATGATAAATAAATAAAGTTCTTGCTAGCTCACTTACAAAAATAAAATGTGGACACTGCTACGAAAACGGGGGGCAACTAGCATGGCGCTTGTCTTTAAGCTCGACTGAAGCTTCAGATGCCTCCAGTGTATTTAAATGCTGTAATGTCTGAAAACAGTGTGCTTCATACAGGCTCAAGATGCAACTTTCCTTAGTTGACTGCTTCCACAACGCACACGGCTGTGCACCGGCATGTGTTGAAAACCTTTTAGCGTGCTAGCTCTCGCTCTGCAGTTTGCCGTGGTATCTCTCAGCTGTTGGTTTGGACTCATGTATCCCTCATTGCATGCGCTTCATAACAAGTGTTTTGCATTCTTTTCCCCCCCAAATCCCTCTCTTTGTTCCTCTTTGTGTTCCCGCCAGATGTTTCAGCCCATGATTTTGTTCATCCTCATCCTCGTTCTCTTCTCATCTCTCTCATACGCCGTCATCTTTAAGTTGGTCTTTCTCTTTGCGCTTTTCTTCGTACTCTAGTCCGTTTGTTCTTCTCCACACCGTGTAGTCTGTTAGTTAATTTCCCCCTCTGCTTATATTCTTTACCCATTTTCTGTATGGTTTTTTTTTATTGTTTTTTTTCCCCCACCTGCTTTCTTTCCTCGTCCCCTCACCCCGTTTGTTGTCCTCTGTCTGTTTTGTCCACAATCCACCTCACACATCTCCCCCCCAAAAACCACCCACCTCCACTACCTGCACCCCTGTTCCCTGCACCTGTCACCCCCCTAACCCCTTACACCCACACCGTCCTCACCCCCCTTCCTTCCCCTTCCCTCTTACCCCACGTCACTCACAGTCCGGTCAGAGGGATGAGCTGGAGTGGCGTCTAGGACAGGAGCGAGGCGTGGAGCCCCAGAGCCAGAGCCAGGGTGGGGGCCAGGCCCAGAGCAGGGGAGCCACGGGACTCACTAGGTACCACAGGCCCCTGGCTTTAAGAGCAGAGGTCAGTGCCTCCTCCCTCCTCCATCTCCCTTCCACCTGTGGGACTGAGTTGACACTGGCTCCACCATGAGCCCCGTTCACAGGGCCTTCTGTTGACCTAGACTCTATTTTCTAATAATTTAAATTGATTCAAAGGCAAATCTGTTTTTCTTCTTATATAAAGTGACTAGTCTTTTCTTTTCCCATGGTGAGCTGTTGAGAAATACAGCTCTGTAGACGCTTTTAATTTGGAAGAATTTAGATAAAAGACATTCAGGTATATATATGAAAAAATATATAAAATCTGAGAAATAGAGTAAATGTTAAATACAGAATGAGGGTCATGAACACTGAACACGTTTTAGGGGCTTCTGGGGGTTGTTTTTTGAATGTGTGTTGGCCTGAGAATCAATGCAAGAAAGACTTAACTTGCCCTATAGTGAAGATATTGATAACATCTACAGGTACAAGTCATAGTGTGTCAACTTTATTTACTGTACTTCCATATATATCCATTTAAAGTCAATCCTCTTCTCACATCTCAACCAAAATATAATAAAAATATAATAATAATAATAATAATAATAATAATAAAGTGTTTCCGAGCAGACTGTATCATAAATTCGGCTGATTTTGAATCTTGGAGGATCAAAGAGTTTGTTCTGATCAGAATGCCACTCAGTCCAGCATGTCTAGTGCGACTCCAGCCACAGTCACTTTTTGATGCTGAACACGATTTCACTTCATTCACTCGCTCACAACTTTCACACTAAATATCCACTCCTACAGCCACTGATCTTTATTTTATTTTCACTCTTTTTGGTTTAACATTTTCTTTTTAAATTTGTCCCATGTGCCCCTGGACATTTTGTGATTGATTTACTCCTTTTTTGAAGAAACCAGTAGAAAGTAGATCTCACAGTGCTCCAAAGAGGAGTTTGTATCTGCTGGTAGGCAGTTTGTCGCCCTTTAAAACAGTGTGAGGCAGCAGCCACGCTCAGCTACAGTATATTGACCTGTTAGGCATATGTATGCACTAAGTGTCTGCACACAGTGCACTCTGTAGTGATGCCCTCTGGCACCGGTTCATCACCACCGGCTGCACTGTCATGCCTCGACTCAGCAAAATTAAATGTATGTTAAAAAAAAGCTTACACAAAAGTGTCACAATACACGTTAAAACGACACACATGGAACAGATCTAAGAGCGCAGTCAGGGAGGAACTAACCTTGCTGCCGCACACATCAGCTCAGATCTGTTAAATCCTTCAGTGACTCGGCTGTTTAATAAACCAGCTGTGTAATCGCAGGGCGCTCATAATCGCTGCCTCATGGTTGTGTTCATAGAGAAATTGCTATCTGTTATGTAATGCAGAGTACTGGCAGCGGTGATGTGACACATCACTATTACAGTTACAGTTATAGCACATTCGCGTGGATTTCTTTGTGTCCCTGTGCTTTTCTGCCAAAGTTTAATCTGGGAGGTGAAATGAATGAATGGGAAAGCAGCTTGGATATGGCAGGATTAGCACTGCTCTGTAGGGCTGTGTGATTTGCATTTGACATTGGGCTGACAGGGAGGGGATTCAGGGTCAGCACACACTGAACAGCTCAACTTACGGTCGGAGGGAGCAGTCGCACGCAGGATAGAAGAAAGAAGTTATAAACCACTGCAGTTCCCAAATTTAGTCTACACTTTGAGGACAGACAGACAGGGAGGTCTTGTCAGACGAGTTGAAGAAGAATCATTACATTCAAAACCATAAACATAAGCATCTCATCTCCTTATGAGCAATTATTTACCTGTAGTAAACAAATCAAACCTCACATGCTTTCAGTTCCTATTGCAATTGCTGTATTTGGCACTTAAGAGTTGCTTTTTTTAATATTATCTTTCAAAGGGCAGCTAATATCATTTCAATGATGTTTAGTTTTATTTTGGTGATAGAAACCATGATTTAGACGCAGCTCTTTCGCTGATAATACAGTGACAGTATTATTTTTGCCCCTCTCAGTTTGTTGGATAACTTAAAAAAGGAAGTCAAGTTAGAAATAGTTTGACATTTTGGGAAATACACTTATTCTCTTTCTTGCCAACAGTTAGGTGAGAAGATCGATATCTCTATATATAAAGTGACAGCCAGCAGCTGGTTAGCTTAGCTTAGCATAAAGACTGGAAACAGGGGGAAACCGCTAGCTTAGCTCTGTCAACAGGTACATCCAGCACCTCTAAAGCTCACTCATTAACACATTAACACACGACTATTTCTTCCTGGAGTCTCTACAGTCTGTCTTGATGTCAAGACTCCAGGAAGTAGTTTTTAGACATTTTAAAGGTGCTGGTCGGCAGATTATCTGTTGCCTTTGGATAGAGCCTAGCTAGCTGTTTTTCCCTGTTTCCAGTCTTTACACTAAGCTAAGCTAATTAGCTGCAGGCTCCACTCCAGAGTGCAATCAGTCCTCTCATCTAAGTTTCCCAAAATATCAAACTATTCTTTAAATATTTATGTAGTGTTGTTTGAGGTTTGATCAAAAAGCTTTGATTTTGCTAGAAATATGTAGTGAAGTTCAAAATGTGCTGCATTCAATTATAATAATTTCCTGAGACGTTGCAGAAGAAGATATATTGGGTTTCTACTTTTGTGAGAAAGTCAGATCTCATTTGAGGGTTTTCAGTGCTCAGTGAATTTTAGTTCTGCAGTGGAAAATTAAAGAGAACAAATATAATCAAGTGTAATCATATCACACACAAATCCCTGCGATTTTGTCGATCAAATATAGCTTTTACAGAGAAACAAACAGAAAGATAGTGAGATATCAATATATGATGTAATTTAACCAAAGTTTGTAAAGTAACTGTGTACTGTGGTGTTGTGGGTTCAGCTCCGGGACACGCCTGCGTCTGACATCCAGTTTCGTCTGGATCATGAACGAAGGCTGCGAGCGGCAACAGAGGAACGGGAGGCTGTGGTTTCTCTGCCTCAGGTAAAATAAGACAGTCAGTCACGCTTCCATGTTTGAATCCCTTTAGAGCGTAAGAACACCGGTATCACACTTCACTCGTTCTGCAATCTTTGCTGAAGTTTGAACATGATTTAAATTAAGTGTCACCAGAGGAGAGGGAAGAAAGTTTTTGCTTTTTTTATTCTTCAAACATGCCAACCTGACTTAATTCATGTAAACGTGACTTTTAAAATATCATCAACTTGACTTTGTAGTAGAAGTATTGGCCTATGTTTTAAAATATAAGCTTTTTGTCATTTTAAACACACAAAAACATACAGCAACATTCAGAGCATGAAACTATTAGTAAGTAAAGAAATTAAACAACATACCTTTGACTTTTGTATAGTCGGTCAAACAAAAGATGCCATTTGAATCTCAACTTCTCTTTGGGAAATTGTAATGGGCATTAAGTACTACTTTTTGGACAAAATTACTATAAAATCTATATATTTTTTAAATGATTACAGATAACTATCTGGTAAATACCTCTCTCACCAGTAGAACTTACTAAAAACTGTGTGAGATTACATATCCATAACCTGACCAGATGGTTTGTTACACAGAGCCATCTGGTAGAGTCGTCATTGGAAACTATCTGTCTATCATCGTCTATCACTGGCGAACTTTAACCAATCAGATCAATGAACCATATAACGTAGTAAAACTGGTACTAAAGTCAGTCGGGAGAGGAGCGAAAACATCTTTTATATCGAGAAAAGACTTCTTTGCCTGTCGTTGCTCTTCTTTCAGTAAAGAAATACTCTCCACTTCTTATATAATTGATGCTAGAAGCATCTACACTAACCTCTTTAGCAGCCCCCAGGATTCAACGAATAGGTTGACGTATACTCACGTCACTTATTTATTAAACTCATGAATTATAAATTTTATGGACTATGTAACTTGATCCTTTCCCCCCGAAGCAGGACGATGAGCGTTTGCGTCTGGAGGCCCAGCGTGGAGGTCTGGAGCTGCAGGGTCTTCAGAGTCATGAGGTGCCCTGGACTCAGGAGAGATCCATGCTGCAACAAGAGGTCCGCCTCTTCAGACGCAACACCATTATCTTCTACATGAAGCTCAGGTGGATCCTTATGCACTGGAGGCTTGGCCTCAAGGACGACTCCAGAGAGGAGACGGGGCACCCGGAGGTGAGTCAGGAGTTTGGGTGTAGAAGTTGGGTAGCATGGGACGGTCACAAAGGCACTAAAGCATATCAGGTTGCAGTTTGAGTCATTAGGAAAGAGATGAAACAACATTCTGAATCACTTTCAGTCCTGAACCACTTTGAGGTGCGAACTTCCCACCAGGCTGCAGGTACTTCAGCAGGACTGATTGATAGGCTGTTAATTGGTTGCCCGGCTGATCGAGTGACTCCATTTGCTGCGGAGCTTGTTTATTCAGCGGTCGATGCTTCACTATTTCTCGCTATCTTCTCTGGCTCCTGGTTGATTAAACTCCTAATTTGTGAGATTCATGTTTTGCTGGGAATGTTCACATGATGAGTGGAGACTACGGAGCAGTTTGACCAAGTCTTTTCCCTCTGAATGTTCTGCTGATGGAGTTTGAGGTCCTGTAATTTCTGCTCACACTGTCCACCCAGTTCCTCATGTTTATACTAAAAAACTCCTTCTGTGCTTGTTGTGTAATATTTTTCTTCTATCGAGATATTGGCACTTTTTGATATAATTCTATATTACTAAATTAATTTCTCTTGATTCTGTCCTGACTCATCATCTTATTCATGCAGCATCTTGTTGTGAAACCTAATTTGTGCCTGCAGATGGTGCAGCCGTAAGGAGCCCATGTGTACCTCGCTGGATGTTTACCACATGTCCTTGACTTGACATTGAATCCCAGCAGAACATTTTCTCAAGTCTGGGTTTATTTTTAAAGCCCCTAATCACGGCTACAGTTTCAGTGCCTCTCAATTTTTATAAACCAGGTGGAAACAAGAAAGAATGGCCCACTTCCAATGTCCTCCCTTATGGACACTCGTTCCTGATTAGTCTGCAAGGGTTCAGACCCGCAGTGTAATGGACGTTCTTGTAGACTTTCTGAAACTTTTCTTCACACTTGGCAGACTTTCTTTGAGTTATTACCATATTGTTCGGATGTTAAATGCAATGGCAGAGAAAATCATAAAAAAAAAAACTCCATCTTTGTTTATAAAGGGGGGTCTAATGAGAGCAGTTCACTCTCCTTTGCTTTGTGTACACTGGACTGTTAAAGTGACAAAAAACAACAACAATTACATGACATTAAAACTTGTACAGCTGCAAATAAAAGATAAGGATTAAATGGGGAAATGGTTATAGAAACAAACAGCGTTAAAGAACCAGTGTGTAAGATTTAGATTTACTACAGTGGCAGCAAAACTTGTGAAAAATGCGAAAGACCCTATTGTAGAGCCAGTGTTCAGTTTGTCCGTTCTAGGCTACTGTAGAAACATGGTGGACTCCAGAGGACACGCTCCCTCTGTAGATAAAAACAACTTATTCTAATGTAACAATAACACAACGATTGTTATTTTCAGGTGATTATACACTAACGAAAACATACCCAAGAATATTATGAGGAATAGGGTTCATTCTTTCACAATATTACATTGAAGACACATAACTCTAGATTCTATTATTTCTCACACATAAATATATATATTTATATCTTTTTTATTATTACTTATGTTAGGTATGAACTGTGCAAAACAATACATCTCTTTGTAAAAGTGAGTCTATGTTTTGTCTGTTATCTTCTTACCTTTTTAAATTTCTGATTTAGAGAAGCCAAAAACTCCACGCCTCTGATTTTAATTTCACATGGTGGTCGCAGGTGAAGACCTGCGACCACCATGTGATATGATACAGCTACTGACATGACGTGATGCAGGATGTCGAACAAGCAAATTCAAAAGTGCTATAAAGAGTATCACAATTAATTTTCATTACACCGATTTGAATCTTAACATATTTGTCTCGATTCTTCCAAATAAATCCTCCTAAATGTTACACACTGGACACTGGACACTGGACACACTGGAGAAATATATCAAACTGGGCCTTTTTTTCACCAAGATTTGTTTTGGGAATCTCCGAGATGAGACACTCCTTAGCTCTAGTAAATCAGTGAGTTTGGCTGAACTATAGAAGAGATTCAAGATATATTGGCTGTTTTCCTAGAAGGGCATCATAAATTTATACTAAGGAGTGAAGATCTACTCTTACTGATCAAGAGGGCCAACCAACCTTCCTGTACAACAGTTGTATCTCACAAGCACATAGCACATGTCTAGCTCTTTATTATATGAAGGCATGATCATGTTCGTGACGTCATTTTAAGTGTGTTAGTGTTCAGTGCTTAAGCATTGATTTCATTCATGGACTTTTCCCATAATTCCCTTTTCTGCAGACCTTTACCTTGTGTCAAATATCGGTGGCGTACTAGTTTCTCTTTAAAGGCATAAAATGAGCCACTTACTTAGTATCCAGTTACAAAACAACACTTTTTGCATCAAGACCTAATTAAATACATCCATACAGAGGTATAAATGTGAGAGCTTGTTTGTGTGCATTAGATAGTGATGGTAAAAGACTCATGCAGGGTGTTTCTCTTCCTTTTACCCGTTGCATGCTGGGAAAGGCTCAGCGACTGTGAGCCTGAAACAGAATTTGTTGGAACAGAAAAAAAAATGAATTAAAACTCAGGCGGCTTTTCATGGCTGTGTATCATCTGTTCCAGTTTGAGAAGTTGGAGGGCATCCCAGAGTTAGGAGTGATAATGGAGCAGGCTGAGGGGGAGTCAGCACGAGACGACAGACTGTGTTTACCGCAAACTCCAGGGGACGTCCCCGATCCCGGGCCCGTCGTACCTCTGCCGTCACCTGATCGACACCTGCAGCATCAAAGACAGGTACAAATCCTAGATTAGATAGAAAACTTACATTTTTTATTTAATCCACCATTTTGTGATCTAGACTGAATAATGAATAATAAAGTTACAGTCCAGCCTGTTCACTGTGAGTGCCGCTGTTGCTTGAGAAACATCACTCTGAAGATCTTCTGTGTAAAATAATTGATGGAGCAGACACATTATTTATTGGCTGCCAGCTTTTGGATAAATGAATCCCTAAATTTAAAATGGATGGATTTGCGTACTGACTGACGGTATTCCCTCAGAACGTCATACAAATCTGTTGTTATATTTAGATCATATTTAAAAATCCAGCCAGTCCAGAGCCCCAGGATATGTGGAGCCTCTGGGCTGCAGGTCAGTATGTTCAGCCAGGATACTTTTGGCCGAAGCTCCAGTGACTGCCGGTTTTTGGTTGTAGGAACATATTTTTTTATTTATTTCAATCATGGGAGTCTCAGGCTCAAATCTTCAAATTAAAGTAAAAACAACAGAATCAATCAAAGATTTCATATTCTGTTCAATTTTTAGGTCTAACTGCAAAATAATGGTTCGTTCAAGGTTTGTTATTAAGCTTTATTGTCATTTTACTATATTGCACAGTTTAATGCTCCACACTACACACATAGAAAATGTATATAAGACTAAAGAATATATTAAAAAACAAGTAAAATACAATCAGAACACTTAAGTAATGATAACAAATACTATAGTTACACTATAAGCTATTATACAGTGACATACTGTATAAACATATATAAATACACACACATAATGAACAGTATAACTCTAAAGTTGTAGGAAAGTATATTTTCTCCAGTAAATTGCTGTATTGAGAGTTTTTGGAGCCTTTCATTATTTTTCTCATTCATTTTAATTGTGTTCAAATGAATGTTTGGCAGGCGTTTATTAGAGCTGTTTGGCATGGTATGCAGATGAGAATTTTTGGCCTAGATAACAAGTTAGAGGCAGCAATTATTTTGAGTACACCCAGTTTTAGGCTTATTGTTCGAACTGTAACACGGACTCTCAGTTACATGCCAAGCAGACAAAAGGAGCTGTGTTCTTCGGGCCCGCTGAATGTTTCAGAGGACATGTTACCCAGACGTAGCGTGTGTTGAGATCTACTTTCAGTACATGCAGTCGACCACTTTGCCCCTCTGTAAAAGTAAAGAAAGTAAGCATTTTGGGTTGGATGCATTATTAAACGGCCTTAAGTGCTCGACTTTGTCCCGTGTTTTGATTTTTCCACAACATCATAAAAATGGTTTGTACAGTGATCTGACGTTTACTCTGTGAGCAGTTTTCCCAGTTTTAACAAGCGTGCCCAGTAGACTATATTAAGCTTTATGCATGAGAGAAGAAACGCTGACTTGCTTTAGTAAGCATTTGCACACATGGCTACTACAGCAGAGCAGAGCACAGATGATAATTCCTGCAGCCAGAGCGAGATAATAGTATGTCAAGCCGTAAAGAGGTCACTGAAAGTTTTCAGCGAAGACTTGGACATAATTTAGGCACTTTGGCAGCTTGGTGAGGGAAATCCTGATTCATTCCCTCTGGTCCTGCCAATGTCTGATACTGCTGAAGTATTTAAGTGTAAATAAATACTGTAAATACTGTAGATTTTCCTACGGTGGACTTTAATCACATTTAGTGTAGGTAAACTCTGGTTGGCTCACTGCGAGAGGCACCTGAGTTTGAACCTTCTGCGTCACAGCTCCTTGTACTCTGGTTTACTCTAAAATCAGCAGACATGCGTGTGAATTATTAAAAATACTCAATGCATCTTGCCAAAGCTCCTGGAGGCTAACGGCTGCTAAATAGTTGTGGATGTAGGATACATTTTTCCCATGGGGGAAAGATTTAAAAAATAGCTTAAAGCCTAAATGTGTAAAGTTGTCTGTGTGTTGCTTTTGACCCAGTCATTGGGTCGGATCTGTCGGGGTCTGGTGCTGTTGGGCACAATGTCTGTTTTGATCCAACCAATAGGGTGCAAAAGTTGGACATATTTAAATTTGACATGTTCTGGTTTTAAATTAAAGGTACCTACTAGAAAGAATATCCTGGAACACCTGGAAATTCATTAAAATGATCAAATATCATGAAGATAATCTATGTTGTCTTGGAATTTTTTGTGTTTTAATCTGTGCTGTGGCCAAATTATTGAATCAAGAAAAGCTCCTGGAAAAAGTGGGAACCCTGTTGGACCTTTAGACCACTAGTGGTGCTAATGAGTATTTAGTGCTGTAACAGAAGAAGACTGGTTTGTGGGGTCCTGGTGGTCCTAGTGGTTCACTCATAGCAATAATGTAAACCAGTTTGGTTGTTTCTCTGCTCATTTCAGCTGTTAAGTAACAGTAGCAAACATGGATGTAAAATCTCCTTTGCAAATGTGTTATAAAGAAGGAAACACATTCAGCATGTTTTTTTAGTTTACACACGGGTGCATTTTGGTGAGAAACTCTGAATGAAAACACATTCATTCACCAGAAAACTCCAGAAAAGAGTTCCCCTTTTTTGCTGGTTATACTGAGGCTGTATTGAAGTGCTCTGGCCCTTTTTATCACCTGAGCTCATATCGTGTTCTCGGCTGCGGCTGGCAAAGCCAGCAGGGCTGCAGTGATACGCTGAGGTGATGTTTTACTCACAGAGTCCTTTGTGCTTCGCTGCCTCCTGCCAAGACCTGGAGACACTCTGCAGCAGGACCACCAGAGGCAAACAGTTCTGTGAACTCTCTTTAAGAACAACATGCTGTTCTCTTCACTGTGACCCAGTGGATGTCGCTGCTCATATAGCCTGAAGCCTGAGTTATAAACTCAAATCCAGATCTTAAATGTGACTGTCTAAACTTTCTCAATCCCCGCTGCATAGTAATTGGACTAAATTAAATCAGCATCGTTGTTGTCCAACTTGTTTTTGTTGCAGCTTTAATTACTGCACAACTCAGAGGTTCCTAAAGGATTTCTCTTAATTTCAATTGATCGGTTTGTAGGAAATTTGAGTGCAACCTTGTATTTACATGCATCCACTGTTTTAGTTCTTTAAAGTCCAAGTAAATGAATTGGATCAAATTTTAAGAGAAAATATTGTCTGTTTTCCCATCCGACGTCCTCCGGCTGCTCTGCCTCAACTCAGCTGCTGTAGCTGCCGTTAGCGTGCAACCGAACGGGGCTCAAGCAGCCCTCCCAGGTGAACACAACCTCAGAGACAGACGGAGGCCAGTTTAACTGTTGCCAACAGTAATGTTAGCAAGTTAGCTTGTGCAGCTAACGCTAGCTGAATTTGCCCCCGGGTGGAAGGACCCAAACCCAAAAAACCCCAACAGTATACTTTATTCCCTGCCATCAAACTGTTCTTCATCAGCATCTGGACGTGCTGTTCACTGGGAGCTCCCAGTCTGCCAGAGTCAGCTAATGGGTCCATTATAGCTGCTTGACTGGGGGACATCACACACAGCGCTATTGGCTACCGAGTCCCTCCCTAGCTGCCTGTTTTTAGAGGAAATATGTAAATATGTGGAAGCAAATACAGTAGCTCACTGATTTCTGTTTCATGTAAAGAAAGGATAGATGGGAAAGGACACAGATTTTTTCTAAAAGGAGGACAAGGAGACAGATGGGAAACAGGATGGAGAAACTCAAGTCAAATTGATTTATAAAGCACTTACAAAGCAGGTTTGTCCCAGAGTGCTTTAAAGAGAGACAAAGGACACAGGCCCAGATAAAAACAAGAGACATCAAGATAAAGAAAGAACCTGCTGAACTTGCCGTGTTCATGTGTGTGTGTGTGTGTGTGTGTGTGTGTGTGAGGTTGCTGGATTAACCTTCCCTATTGTGTATTTTTGCTGATAGTTTTGTCTGAATTCCCTCTGTGCAGTTCGGGGAGAACCGGCAAGTGCTGCAGGCCGTGCGGACGCTGCTGGAGGAGTTTCGGGAGGAGCTGCAGGAGGAGGAGACGCGGCGATGCCAACTGCAGCAGACCTACGCCAATGACAAAGCCGCCTGGGAGGTCAAGTGGGCAGAGATGAAGTGCCAGGTCGCCCAGGTACAGATGGCGTCTCAGCGCCCACCTTAAAGGGACAGGACACAATCTGGTGCAGAAAGCTAGTGGTGCATTCAATAAGCAGCAAGGCGACAGTAAACATGTTGCCTTCTCCACGGATGAAATCCCTCTCAGAGGCAACCGCTAACAAGTCAACAACAACTAATTTTTTTTTCTTTTTTGACCCGTCGGTTCGGGCCAATCAGCGTCATTTCAAAAATGGAAATGAAGTTCTGTCTTAATTAATATCGCAAGTGACAAACAAATGGACAGAATCCAATTTATAATCACCCCTAAACAATTAAATTAAAAAGAAGAAGGGCTGCTCCCAATAAGACAAAATATAAAATGATGAATCACTTACTTGGCACCCTGTAATGGGTATATTCTGTCATTGTGCAAACTAATTAATTCAGCACTGTGCCTAATTGTTTGATGTGCCTCTAAGCATTTCATACAGAAATCAAGACAGCTGTTAAAGCACTCTTTCAAACTCCCAATGGGAGTTTAACTACTGTGTAGATTAAGAACAGACTATCTTTATCTCAACTGACATGAAGGCTGATACCAGTTGTTTTGTACGGAGGCTGCTGATTGAGGATTTTTGTGTCAATGTGAAAAATTTTGAAACAGGTTTTAACTGGTTGCCATAGCGTTCCAGCGAGGATTTGAAGTAAAACTTAAATAAAAAATATACACAGTAAGTGTCTATATCTCAGCTTTTCAAACACTGAAAGAAGCCTATTAAGTATGTGTGATTGTTAAAACATAAAAAAAAATACATAATACAGACTGAATTGTATTGAAAATGTCCTAAAATTATCAGTAAAACTCATCCATGTTGCAATATTCTGCTCAAAATTCATCCAAATTGCTTTTTACACAAATTCTCTTTATTTGCTTTATTACTCTCTGGGTTTATTGTACAGTTTATAAGTTGTTTGTTAAGTTGAATGTTAAAACAGAGTTAGGGGTCGTGAGTGTTGGGAACCACTGCTCTATATGACCTACAAACATCAGCAAGAAGCTATTTCTATGTAGTTATTCTTAATGCTTGCCACTAGTTTGGATTCCCCTCGAAATCAATGAAACAAGACGCTAGAAACCGCTTTTGTATCAACACAAAATTAAAATCCGGCCACTGACATGATGTCAAAACTATAATATAATCTGAATAATTTGATATCCAATTAAAATAAAAACATAATTCTGTTTTTTAAAAAGGCAAAAGGTGTCCACGAATACATGTAAAGGGTTTCAGGGCTTTATTTGTTTGGCTGTGAACAACAAAGAAAATATAAATATAAAAGGATTATACAGAAGTATAATTTTAGTAATGGAAATACTTTGAATAATGAATTTTCTTGTAGTACTTGAATGTTTAAGTGGCCATCCCATGTTGAGATAATACCCCAAGCCACTGTAGAGGGTTTAAATGTGAAATGATTACAGTAAAGGCCTTCAAGATTACGATTGTTCTTGTAAAACAGCATTTACAACATTGTGGGACACTAGAACTCATCACTGACACCCAGGAAAATAATTTTATTTAATGGGTTCTGGGTATTCAGACCAAAAGAACAAAAACAGCACACCATTAAAAAACACAAGAGGATTAAATCTGGCCAGTTTGACTGATTTTAAAGGTTTATAGATGCCAAAACGCTGCAGAGCAGTTTGTAATATTGTGATACAGGGTTTTACAACTCGGTTATCAAGTTATCACAGTGATAATTGATTAGAAAAGTTAGTTGCATGTTGCTTTCAGCCCTAATTCTGCACATAGTGGCTTTAGATTTAAATCCCACTGCAGGTACAGATCTGTGTAGTCATGGTCAACCTTAATATACTGGCAGTGTGCATCATGAATAGATGATATCGCTCAGTATCCTCACACCCTAGTTCTACTATGTGGGTTGTAATTTCATGGTAGACCAAAATATGTGCGAAGTTTGCAGCGAGAGGAAGTGGATTTGCAAGAAAGGCGCAGAAGTGTGTCCCAGAGGGATATTGAAACCACGTTGTGCAGATGGGCATCGCGGTCAGAGCCTCATTGTCTGCTGTGTCCGATTTAAACTCCAGATTTTCGTTCCCCTTTCGAGAGGGCAGAGCACGATCTGGAATCAGTTTCAGGATATTGAACATGTTTCTTTACCACCATGTTGGAAGATGAACCCACAGTGAATTTTTCCTCAGCGTTATCTGATGAACTATAGCTCCGGGAACCAATTAAGACGGGTCGAGTAAGAGGAGGATCTTTTTAAAACTCTCGTGCACTAATCTGAACAGCTAGTACATGGTTCATATCCTTCCACAGAGCAGAGGTGGCTCTGATAAAACCCCGTTGAATGATTTTCTTGCTCCACTGTGCTTCGTTCTGATGAAGACTTCAGAAATATGCCCCTAAACTAAGCTATTTTTTCATATTCAGGATCATTACGCAGCTCAACAGAGCAGAGCAAAACTGGAAATTACCCTCACCTGTGTATTTATACGTGGATATAAGTAGTGATTATTTTTGGGGGGGGTCAGTGTTACTGTCAGGTATTAATATCATTGCTCAGGCTGGCTCTTGTTTCATACTCTGGCATAGTGTGAAGCCTCCTAAATAACTGTCTATTTTTATAACGTCTTGGCTCTTAGCATTCAGTCAGCAGCTATTACTGTACATGTCTCCTCCAGTGTGTATTCAGACAGTTTTAAAACCTCAATATAAAAGTCTACAAGACAAACATTTGTGAATGGGGAGTTATGTAAGCTGGTGTTGGGAGACAGTCTTGACTCGCTCTTCACACAGCTCCAGTACTGCAGACGCTGGTTTGTACCATTATGTTTGCCAGATCAAAGCCCGCCTGAAGATTACAAAGCTCTGTTATGCACAGAAAGGAGAAGCTTCACTCTGTCGCTCTGCAGCTTTGAAGATTTCTGCAGCACATCTGAATCCTTAAATTTGGGAGGTCAGCCCTCGCTCATGTCTGGACTGTGTGTCCCTGTCAGCTACAAGAGAAAATACTGGTACTTTGGGATACCTTCTAGTCATCTCATTGTGTTTGTTTGTGAATAGGAGACTGAAAAGAAGCCCTGTGATAAAATAAGGCCTGTGTTGGAGGATGTGTGGACCATTTATTCAAGTGCTATAACAAGGAACTTTCCTTTCGTTGATTCTGGCCGCCCCTGTGGACAAAAGCGGTAGTGTTTCCACCACCTAGTTGCATTGATTTTAATGGGAATCCGACTTAATCCGACCCAGTGGAAGGCATTAACAGTAACTATATAGAAATTACAATCTTCCCGCTGTTGGTCTTTATTTATGTAGGTTGTATAGAGGCATCAGTATTAAATGGAGACTGTTTCATAACCAGTTAAAAACTCCTTGTAGTAGATTTAAGTGCAAATTCAAGATACTTTATTCGAGTACTTTTTCCATTTTATGCAACTTTATATTTTTTTAGACAGCTTTATTTACTTTACAGATTGCAATTTTTCATACCCTTCCTCTCCAGTGAAAACCATGTATATCTTGACTTTTAATGTCAATTTTTCTTATAAAGGGAAAAATAGAGGGTAAAAATTCACTGATGAATATCGGATATGGTGGTCGATAGAGTGAATTTTTGAGCTGGAATGAAAAAAGACTTGAAATATTTTGCACTGAGATGACTGTAAAGGTACTCCTTTTCTACAAATAACTTTATTAAAGGTAAAATAATATAACATATAGGCCACATTGTCAACCAATTCTTAAAATTAACACTGAGACAATAAAGAATAAATATAAGTAAAATAATAAGCTAAACATCAGTACTGCATAAACTACAAGCATTTATGCATTAAATACCGGAGTATGTGTGTATATCAGATTACATATACGCGGTACTATTTGCTACTTACAATAAACTGTTTTAAACCCTCTTGGATTAGTTAGAAAATGCTTTGTCACAAAGCTGAAAACAGTTGGTGAAAGTTTGACTTTTTAGAGCTACGTGGTTCTCAGTTTGAGTAAAAGATCTGTGAATTTGAAGGTTTATCCAGCGACAATCCGTCTGAATTTGCCGTTTCATCACTAGGTTGTTCATAAATTGTGTTGTTATCATGAGAAGACTACACATAATAAGCTACACATTCACTGATTTAATCAGCTTTAACACTGATTTATTATTTAGCAGCTGTGTGAGTGCTTGACTTTACTTCTCTTTTCAGTTTTCATTGTTTTATTTACCAAAAAAAAACTGATTAAAAGATCAAAAAGTGAAAATCAGAGGAGCGAAAGATTGGATTTATAAAAAACTTTGAAAAATGAAGCATCTCACGACTTTAAAAACTTGTTGATCCAACAAAAACAGATCAAAAGAAGTTTGGTAGAGTCTCTTTTTATTGTCTTCATATGATCGTGTTCTCATCTTTTTACTGTGATCTTTATTTTTCTGGCTTCAAATTAAAGCAGAGGTTCATCCAAAAACATATTTTTTGAATTACCTCCAGCGTTTTTTTGGTTTTTTTTGACGACCTTCAAACCAGCAACAAGGGTGAAAAAGTGCATTTTAAAAATGAACAGCAGCATCTCAAACATCTAACTAGTGTCTTTGTTATTGTGTGTAATCAATCTATTTCTTTGGTCGAAAGTAGTTCCACTGAAACATGTGACATAATTTGGGTGAATCGACCCTTTTTCTTTGTCTTAATTATTTATTTTCTATGACTAATCAATCCAACATCTCTGTGTCTTTGCTCTTTGACCAGTTGGAGGAGGAAGCGCAAGGTAAGGTACGAGGCGAAGCTCAGGGAGGTGAAGGGGAACCAGCCAGAGACCCCGAGTGGGCCTTGAATCAGGAGCGCGAGGAGCACCAGCGTCTGCTGGCCGAGAGCCACAGCACCTCCCTGGACCTCCGCTGGAAGCTACAGCACGGAGAGAAGAGGTGGGGCCGCGAGAGGGCCGAACTGCTGGAGCGCCTCGACCGAGAGCGGCAGGAGTGGGACGGCAGCATGAGGGAGCTCCACCGCAAGATGGAGAGGGTGAGAGAAGGGAGGAGGTGGAAGGAGATGGAGGAAAGAAGAGTTATAGCAGAGAGAAAGGGAGAAGGAAGGACGGGGTCGGGCAGGGATGAGAGGAAGGGTGAGGATAAAGAATGAGAGGGTCAAGTCAGGCTCATACACTACGTAGTTTGATTAGTTCATTAACAGATTTTCTCACCACAGGGTTCATTTAGTAACATTTCTGGAGCCTTCTCTAGCATCACATGATCTTCCTCAGTTGTAAATGTTCAAATTTCTATTTTCTGGAGCACTTTTAAAAACGTCTCGTCCATGTTGGCTGAGGAGATTGAAAGTTCATTCTTGACCTAGAAAACAGGAGTTGACAAGAAAAAATCACACTACAAGGTCCATTTAGTAGCTTTTGATCGTATCACAGATCTGTTTCCAAGGTCAGGAAGGAACTTTGAATTTCAACCTTTAAGCCAACATTGTTAAAAGTCCTTAAAGTGCTTGAATAACCTTTTCATTACCAATAATCTGTCGGTTATACTTTCTCCTTTTAATGGATTCATCGTTCTTTTTTTAAAATCTCAGCCGATAGTAAAAACAATGTCCATCACAGTTTCTTAAGAGCCTAAGGTGACATCTTTATCGGTCTGAAACACAAAGATATTAATTTAACAATCGTGTACAACAGAGAAAAGCTACAAATCTGTACATTTGAGAAGCTGAAACCAGCAAATATTTGGGTTTCTGCTTGGTACGACTTACATAAATGTATTAATTGATTATCAAAAATGACTTTTCTGACAACTGACTGAAGGATTAATAATTTCAGCCTTGGCTTTGCTTCCTTTCTGCATTTAATGTCATTGTAAATGTAAATCTTTTGGATTGTTAATGAGACAAAAACAAGTCATTTAAAGTCATCACACAAGAGACTTTTTTCACTATTTTTAACTATTTCCACAGAATAATGAATAATAAAAAATCTGTTAGTTGTATAAAACCACTTTGATCTGAACTGCCTCTTCACAAACTTTACAGATCTAACTAGAAAAACACACCACAACTTAAAGATCTGAAGTCTTCGCTTGTTAATGAATGTAAGTTTGTGTTTGTGGTCGAGTGGATACGAGAAACGGTGACAAATCACCCGAGGCGATTAAATAATACTGAGGATTACTGAATAATTTATATACTTAGTGAGCTTTAATTAGAGGAACTGCAGCATCTCACCTCGCCCGTGTGCGACGTTCAGGGCAGGAGGTAGGAACAAGCACTCATTAATATGATATGAGAGTGAGAGTATTAACATATAAAGCAGGGACTGGAATAATAACCACAAGGAGCACACTCTGAATACAGCTCGCTTTTAACAGCTTAAAGAAAAAACTGCTGATGCACGTTTGAATAGAGACACAGAGCAGGACGCACAGATGCATTATTCAGCGATGTTGCAGCACACGATAAAGCACAGGTCACCAACTGCACTGCTCAGACTGTCAGTGTGAGAGTGAGTGAGTGATGCGGTTGTTCTCCTTTAACACTGAAACCGAAGCAAGGCACTTGACCCCGAATGTTGCAGGTGGATTACTCGGTGGCTCACAGTCGAGGACTACAGTGGAAGAATAGTTTGTTATGTTAAAAGAAAGCAAGATGTCCATATGTGACGAAAGCTTCCCCTGTATAAACTGAATTATACTGTAAATGTGAAGGACCATACCAGGGTTTTATAGAGCTATACCAATAAATTAATATATTTCTTCACTGCAAATTGATCTGTATCACTATGACAAGAAATATTATTACAGAAATGTCAAAGATAATCTTTAAGAGCCTCTATATAATAATAATTTGGGTGTTTATTTTGCTTTATTCACTTACTTTACTATGAAAGTTGTATTTAATAGGGTAAAACTTGCAAAACTTCCATCTGGTTCTTAAAAAAGATAGACAAGTACATTTACACTGTAATTCCCCAAAAATGATGCAGGTAGTTGAGACTTAATGGAATAGTTTGCCATTTTTAGTTAGGTAAGAGGATTGATACCACTCTTTAGGTAATTATGAAGCTTACAGCCAGTAGCTGATTAGCTTAGCTTAGCACAAAGACTGGACGCAGGCACAGTTTGTTACCTTGTTTTTTGCCAGTTTTTATGCTAAGCTAAGCTATAAGAAAGCAAATAAGTGAACTTTCAAGCAACGATGAAAAAGATTAACACAAAATGTAAAATACTTTCATTCTCTGTGCAGATGCAGAGAGAGCTGAACGGCCGGCGAGGCGAGAGCATAGACATCAAAGATGGCGGCTCCGGCCACAGAGGTGTGTTTTCCCCACAGGACAGTCCCTGCAACGCCCCACGATCACCTCGCTCCCCACGCTCCCCCTGTACGTCCACCCCTATCTCCGTCCCCCCCATGCGCTCCCACTCTGACTCTGAGGCCATGCTGGAGGAGCAGGGGTCTGCGATGAGGCTGAAAGGCCCAACGGAGAACCTGTTCCTGGACGCGCTGACTCTAGACCCCCTCAGTGGTCTGGAGGTCCCACCACCCTCCAGACTGGAGAGTGAGAAGAGGTTCCCCTGCATGAAGGAGGTAACACATCAAAGTCAAGAAACCTCAAAACTTTATTAATGTAACTCTTAAAAAAGGGTTGGTTTTTGGTTTTCAGTGAAATATCTCAACAACTATTAAAAGGATTGCCATGACAAACATTCATGTCCGACCTCAGGACAGGGTCTTGAAAAGTCTTACATCCAATAATCTGAATTGTAGGCCTTAAAATGTCTCAATATAATTTTGACAGGTCTTAAAAATGTATTGGATTAATGAAGTTAATATCACTTGTATAAAGTTTTTCAGTCTTGTTTTTAAATGTGTATCAGAAGTGTATTGATCATGTGGTGGTTAATGACAAAATACTTAAACTAATGACATTCAGCCTTCAGCTTTACTTTACGTTTAGTGCTAATTAGCAAACATTCTGCTAATAATCTAAGATTGTGGCACCTTATTATTATTGCTGATGTTAGTATTTAGCTCACAGCAACGTAAAGTACAGCCTCAGAGGAGCTGCTGGCTGTAGACTCTAAGTCTTTTCTAAGAAATTTGATGTATTTCTATATAATACATGAAAGTAAACTTACTATTTTTGGGTGTTTGACTGTTATGTAATGGATGTAATGGCAGTTTTTTCACTATTTTGTGACATTTTATAGTCAAAATGATTAGTTGATAACTATTAACAGTTGTATTAGTTGCAGGTTCAAACCACTTAACGAAATCATAGAACAAAACTAGTGAAAATTTTTATGCCTTAATGTCTTATGATTTAATTTTAGCTGAGAGAAGTATATAATATATAATTTAAAGTATATCACTTCTTCTAATTCTATTTTCATTACATTTTGTTATACCTGCTTTACCAAAATATATTGAAGTAATTTCGAATCTTGAGGTTTAATCTTAAAACATTTATTAGAAGCTGTTAACATGAAGTAAGACTTTAAGGAGTTATATTAAAAAAGTATATTACAATCTGAGGCAGATAAAAATGAGCCTCTCAAATTAATCATCCAGTGTCTGAATGCTGTTTAACATCCAAAACAACATTTATATTCAGCATATTGGATGTAAATGAACTGTGGTGGTTGTTTTCTCATAGAAGATTTCCCTTTTCTTGACAGATACTCACTGATTTCAGAATATACTACTACCATTTCTTTCCAGAAGCTACTGTCTATAAATCATTTTACACCTGAACCCTTTTTCCACATGATTTCATTGTTCTGTTTCAGGCTCTGAATGAGATTTCGGAGAGAGAGGTCGATCCTGAGTACCCAGAGGAGGAGATGGCCGGCGGGAGTCTGCTCAGGTAACCTCACGACAAAGCTGAGTCCAAAGAGAGTTCAGACGAGCAAATTATTCTTTAAAAGCTGATGAATTTTCATAGACGCCAACAGTGAATTCATCACCGAGAACCGATGTGACTGACTACAGATTATTCACTCTCCTGCTGCATTTTTTGCTGCTCATACATACATTGATCCCTCCAGAGATCGGCTGTTGATTATATTAACTGTTAACTTGAAGTGACAGTGACAGTGAGTTTCCCCCTGGTGGATTTTTCTCTGAAAGTTACTCTTATGGCGAAGAAGTGATCCAGCTCAAGATGTTGTTAAATAATTCAGACAGATTTGAAACATTTAAAGGCATTAAGTTGCTTTAAAAAAAAAACATATTTAGGATTTATTTTCTGCAGTGGGAATATAAAGGAGGTGAGATCATGAGCGTCTCAGATGAGGTTAATGTTATTGAACTGTGTGTGTGTGTGTGTGTGTGTGTGTGTGTGTGTCCTGTGCAGAGCCAAGTCCGTGTGCTCCATGAGCGACTTCCAGCGGTTAATGGACAGCTCGCCGTTCCTCCCCGACAAGACTCGCCACGGTGATCAGGGCCAAGACGACGTCACCCCGCCTCTTTCCCCGGACGACCTCAAGTACATTGAGGAGTTCAACAATAAGGGCTGGGATTTCCCATCATCCACTTCTGGCCCGGGTCCCGCCCGGGAAGTGTGGACAGACAAAACCCCCGAGGCCCGGGGAGGGGCCATTGATCCATTCCAGCCAGCCTCCTGGTTCCTCACCACCAGCGCCACCCTGACCACCAGCACCCTGAGCAGCCCTGAGCACTGCCACAAGTCCCCGCTGAGGGGCAACGGAGCAGGGGCAGCAGGGGTGGGAGTGGAGCACTGTGGGGTTCACCTCCTCCACAGCCCCACCAGATCTGGGGCAGCTGAGCACCCTACTGCCCAAGACCCGGACTTCCTGTACGCCAAAGGGACCAAAGCCAGGAGTGGAGGGGAGGCTGGGGTGGGAGCCAGCGGGGCAGATGAGGTGTTCAGCACTGGGAGGTGGGCGTGTGGGCTTCTGGAGAGTGGGGCCTTGATGACTTCTCCTAGCCAGTCTCCTATCTGCCCCACAGTGGGCTACACGTCCTCTCTGGAGCTTCAGCTCTCCAGAAACATGAGTGACGACATGAAGGAGGTGGCCATCTCTGTGAGGAACGCCATCCGCTCTCCACCAGGGCCCGTCGTCCGGGACACCGCCTGCCAGACCAATGGATTCACCACGAGAGGCACCCAGACCACCCAGACCATCAGTGTGGGTCTACAAACTGACCTGCTGAGGAACCTGACCAGCAGCCCCCACCGTTGCCTCACCCCGAAAGGAGGCAGCACGCCTATATCTTCCCCGTCACGCAGCCTGAGGAAGGTCCAGTACTCTCCTGTCATCCAGAGCAAGTTTGAGCGACCCTGCTGCTCGCCAAAGTATGGCTCACCCAAGCTCCAGCGCAAACTGTCTACATCCAACAAGGCCGAGATACCCAACACCATCCGTGCTCCAACCCCTACCACACCGCAGAAGGGCAACAGCGAGTCGGCGTGGGCCCGCTCAACCACCACTCGCGACAGCCCCGTCCACACCACCATCAACGACGGCCTCTCCAGCCTCTTCAACATCATCGACCACACCCCAGTGGCCTACGAGTCCATGCAGAAGTTCAACAAGTCCCCCAGTCGCTCTCGCCCCACCCCTCCCTCCACCGCCGAGCCCTGCCCCGCTCAAGGGGCTCTCGCCACAGATCCCAGGAACGCGCAGGAGTGCTTGCGGACCGCTCGTGGGCGCTCGCCGAGCCCCGTGCAGCTGATAGTGGAGACGCAGGGGGACAAAAACCCAGAGGTGGTGAGCATACGGCAGGACCTGTCGGCCCCGCCGGGCTACACGCTGGCTGAAAACGCAGCTCGCATCCTTAACAAGAAGCTGCAGGAGCAGAGCTTTAGAGAGGAGAGGAGGCTGCAGGCTGGAGGACAGAGCAGCCACAGCAGGGACAGCAGCAGGCAGGCCGACTCAGACAGAGGACAATCTGGATGTATGGAGGTAAATATACAGGCGCACTGGATCCATCGCTTCATCATTCATTTGATCTGGGGTCCATGTTTTATGACACAAAGATATTTATGACTTTGCCTGGGATTTTCCTTGTAATGGTTGAAGACAAACTTTAAGGGTTCTGTGGTTAATAAGAGGGGAAAAAAGCTAATCAAATACGTTATAATATCACTAAAATGTTAATGCTTTTTTCTCAGATCGAAAGCACTGACTGATGCAATGGTAATGTCAAAATATTCGACCCTCTTCAATAATACTGAGCTTTCCATCGTTGCTGTATGTAGACACTTTTTAAGGTTTCTTCTTCTGTACTTTCTTCTTCACTGTAGTGACTTTCTTGTAGTGTGGCTTTTTAATTTCTTTGCTTTAACTTTCACCGAGGCCCGACCGAAAAAAAAAACCCTGATTTATGTGTCTGATAACTGGAGACGTGACATCAATGATCTCACAACGGCAATAATCGGTGTGGGATCATAGCTACAGATTTACATAATTCATCATTATCACCACTCTCCAGTTACGTCTTCCACCAGAATTTTAACCAAAAAAAAGCGTTGATTTTACTTGTTGAAATCAGCGCTCTGACGGCTCGGTCGGGCCCTTTTCACCACCCATTCAGCTGACCTGTGGGAAAAAATAAATGACAGACACAAAACCCTCTTTCTGGTCATGTTTAAATGATGAAACAGAAAGAAAAACACTTTCAGTTTGGCTCTCCAGACAGATTAAAACTTGATAAAAGTAGGTCATGCTGTATTAAAGCTGTACATTAAAACAATTTACCAAAGCCTTCTTGTATATTTAAAACCATAACATGAACAGTAAGCAACGTAATCCCACATACGGTGATTAATTTGTCCACTAACATCAGGGTTTCACCAGCTGTTGTTCACTGACCTGCAGAACAGACAGCAGTAAGATTAGAGTCTGATATGTGATTTCATGGATGATAGTGGAGCGTTTGTTTCCTGCAGCCTCCTGTGGATGACGGTCACAGCTCAGATTGATTGTGAACGGTACTCAACGTGTCAATATTGTTAATACAGACCTGGATAAGGATCTTGCTTTTATCTATTTTAAATAGATAGATACACACAGAGAAGTGAGGAGAGATCCCCATTGAAATTTCCACCAGTAAACCTAATTGAAACAATGTAGGAATGGGCGAAATGGATGCAATTTACTGTCACAATTTATGGTAATTTAATATTGTAAAAGTCTTGTGAATTTACTGGGAAAGTGAGTTAACTGTTTAACTATTTAACAACTATTTGTCTGTTTTTAGCTAATCCGGTGAATTAGGACTTTAAGTAATGATCATTTTAGCTGTAAAGGAAATTCAAACCATTTCAAATTTCTACCTGATATTTTCTGAGATACAGCAGATTTTTTGGAAATTCAATTGAGAAACCGTTTAGATTAAATAGATTAAATACTGTTGTAGCTAACCCAGGAATTATTGCTGTTTAGACCGACTATTCAGCGACAGATAGTTCCCGCAATAAGAAGATTATTTATTGTTGACTGCTGGAAAAGTTGGAATCCCGATGTTGTAGTATTTTGATAAAATTGTATTATTGATTACTGTATGTTTTTAGAGATGCAACCGCATTGAGAACCAGTGTTTTAGATTATTCAATTAATTGACGAAAAACTTAGAAACGGCCAATAAAAGATGTCCCGTAGCCTAAGATGTCTAGAACTCAACTAAGAGATATTCAATCCAGATAAATGAAACAGATAAACATTCTCTTAATAAATGACAAATTATGATCAAAATTGTTGATTAGTTTTAGGAAAACATCTTTAAATCCATTACTGCAATGCTACTATTGATTCGTCTGTTAGCTTGAGTTATCTTCGTCAGTGTTTTTATCTTGAATCTTTCCCGTTGGACAAAACTCTACCGCCTTGCATCCTATCACCCAACCCTAGTTTGGTCTATTTGTAACCTTTCATATCAAATGTTTGACACTGTCCGTCCCAGTTCCCCTTGTGTTTTTTCCAGGTCTAAAGTGAATGGGTGTGTGTTATTGCTGTCTGTGTGGTCTGCAAGCTGAAATCAGCCACCTTATTTCTCCTGATCAACCTCTCTGCCTTTGATATGCCAGACTTATTTTTCCTCTTTGCCCGATTTTACCGATTAACATTTCCCACTCTATCTTCCCTCCTCCTCCTCCTCCTC